TTCATGGTGAAATAATTATATTATATACTATATCTTTAGTCGAAAAAATAACTAAAGTTTAGATAATTAATTATCCATCTTAAAGATCTGCCACGATCAATGTAATCTTTGATCAATGGCTTGAACAAGACTATTTAATATATTAATTCGTTCTGGTCTAGTTAAACCTGATGATACTCGGATATAACCCCCGAATGCAGAAATAAAATCTGTTTCATCTGGAATAAGTGGAGGTAAATCAGACCATTCATTATCAGAATAATCTGGATGTTCGATTTTAATTTTTGGATTGAGTTTTTTCATCACTTCTTCGCTAATCCCTTTACATCCCTTTAAACCAAGATATTCCAAATTAGTACAGTTGCGGGCTATTTCCTCAACAGCTTTATTACCAATAGAACAATCTCCAAGCTCAAGATGTCTAAGTTTTTGACAAGAACGTGCTATTTCAGTGATACATCTATCAGTAAGAGATCTGTATGCATTAAGACTCAGATGCTGTAGTTTCAGACAATATTTTGCAATTTCTATAATTGGTATATTACTGAAACCATAACTTTGATCAAGAATAAGAAAATTTATATTTGGACATGAATATAGAATTGCCCTGAGTAATGCATCTGAGATTTTCAAACCTGCCAATTTAAGATATACCATCTTTGAGCAATAGAAAGGTTTTATTTTTACGCACATAACTTTTTTTAACTTTCTCAATTGCCTATAAAGAGGCCCAGATGTATTTTTATCACGCCGCTCCCATCGATAACCTTCTATAGAAAACTCAATACGTCTCCATAGAATTGGAACACCACAGTAGTACCAAAAGTGATTGACAAATAAAGCGGGGTGGAGGGATCGATCGATTTCTAAAAAATACAAGATCTGTTCTAGTAATTCTGGTAAATTAAAAATATTTAGACCTTTTGAGTCATGATTCTTTGAATCGCCTAACGGCCTGCTCCACAATAGTTGCGCCATTTTCAAGTAATTTATTATTATATATCTTTAACTGAAAAACCAATGCTTGGATAATTAATTTCATATTCTCCACTATTAAATGCAATTATTTGTAACCCACGATGAATAATTAGGATTGATCCTATCAGTTTCTCTGATAATTATTTTTTAGGAATGATGCCTTAGCGGAGTTAGTACAAGGTGCTAAATTTCATGGGTGATATGGTGGAGGTGGATCACACTTAGCACGTATTTCATTTATAGTTAACAATTTTACTAAACCTTCTAATGGAAGTTTTTTTCCGTATTCTTCTGCCATCAGCTGGTTTTTGGGATTTAATCCTGCGATGAAAATATTCTTGAGAAGTTTCTCCTTTATAGAAAGATTAGCTTGTGCCGATAATGGGTTCTCTTGCTCACATACCTTTATCGTCTTGACATATTCACTCACGGACTGATTGTGTTGTGTAGGCGGCGGAATTTTGGAAGGTTTCAATTCTGGTGAATCCGGAAGTGTATTTGAAGGCGAACTCCGATCTACCTAATTAATTGTATCTCTTATACCGAAATCTGACTAAGATCCTCTCATTGTTATATTTTCAGAAATGTAATGATATATTTAATATTGTATTTTTTACTGTATATTAATAAAAATAATTTAACATTTACAATGACCGAGGATAATAACAATAGCAGAGATAGATCAAAAAATATGTACCAAGGCACTAGCCCCGCTATTGAAATCGGCTATGATGAAAAATTGGCCAACCTTACACAAATGCAATTAAAATCACATGTGGTTAATATCAATGGCAAAGATATAGAAAGCATTCTCGATTCGAGCGGACAATGTCAGGTTATCACCTGTGAAAAAGCAAAAGAGCTGAGTTTGGAAATGGATAGTGTAAAGCTGCATAAAAGGATACCCAGGATCAAAGGGATAACTCTAAAGAGTCATATTACTGATAGAACGGTATCTGGTATTGTTAAGTAAGTATCAGGTAAAAAAATTCGGATTTCTTTTCACCAATTACTGAAGATAGTGAAACCTGAGATCTGACAAGAAATTGTGAACTCGATAGCAATCCCAGATATTTCTTGAAGAAAACGTACACCATGCAAGGCTAAAAGAAAAAGACAATTTTAAATGATACCGCATCTCCATCTTCATCCTCGTCTTCATCTGAATCTGGGTCTGACTCTGAATCTGAATTTGGTTCAGGTTCCAGTAATGAGCTTATTATACATGTAACAAAGAAGTACAATTAGTAATTAATTTTCATCGTAGAGATAGAATGGTCTTGCTTGTTCTGAAGTCTACCCTTTTTTGCAATAATTTACTACAACGTAGTTTTGTACTGGGAAAGTATGGTTGTCAGAGCTGTGGCATAGGACTTCTCCAGCGATTGTATACGCATGAGCCATATTTTTCGCTCCATTCGTTACTACAGCATAAACTGCTCCTAATTTACGTAAGTATTTAGGAACTAAATCATAACCTTTTAAAAATCTATTGAACCATTTAGCTCCTGGCTTACCTGGGTCCCCCATTCGACCAGAAGAACTAGCATTCTGTATTCAGGTTAGTAATTCTTTGATTCTTTTCCATAGATCTAAATTTTCTAGGAATATCTGGTTGGCTCCTGTTCTTTGCATAACCTGTTACTCCGGTATCTGTGATACGTAAAGTTATAAGTTCAACAGGGCGGATATAAAGCATCACCATAACATCAGCAAGAGCTTGATAATTGGGCGAGGTTTTTAAATCATATGCATCTAATCTTTCTTTTACCGATTCTAATGTAAATTCATCTGGATAATCAATGGTTTTAGCCTTTTTCCGATTGTCCATTTGGATTTTGTTAGCATTTTCTGTAATATCTGGGAATTTCGTGACCTCAATTATATCAAATAATACACCAAGGGTTTTTAATTCTCTTCTAAGTCATGAAAGACATGATGAACCAGCATTGGCATTTGATGCTGATAGGGCTAAGGCATAAGCTTCAGCTCTTATATTCCTAATACTAAATTTATCCCGTAAAAGCTGATGTGCCATATCCCCGATAATTTCTTTCTCCATTTCTTTTGAGGGTTTGTTGGAAATCGCAACATTTACGATCTTACTTCCATTTTTCTAGATAGAGAGGTGACATAAGTCACTTTGCAAAGCAAATAATGCATTTACTTGATCCTCACCAAACCCATATCTATTTTGCAAAATTCGTTTTGCTATCTCTCTGATAATCTCTTCTTCCAAATTTTTTGGAGATGAAGTTATGGCTATTCTGCAACTACCTTCGACGATATTTATAGTTTTGTTTTTACCACCCCTCTGATTAGGTATCAATATACTCACCTGCTCACTGCTAAATTTAAAACCACCCCGAAGACGTCTCCACGTCTGACTCCTTTTTCTATCATCCGTAAGGCTTTTGAGGAACTCGGAGGTATATTGACTAAGTTCAGACAGATTAGTCTTGTAGCTAAGATTGTATTTTTCAACGATTTTTGTTACGACAGTTGACATGGTTAAATGTTATAGTAGGTTAGTAGGTTATGAACAATTCTTTAGGTTATATACACTATGGAATATATTTTTTTAAATCGAAATTAATTATCTCGGGTTGGTATAGCTATGCCCAAAAATTGAATGGGTCGTGGTTAATGTAATTCTATTGGAAAATGGACACGAACAAGACACGAGTTCGACCAAAGATTACGGAATCCGTAGCTCTGCGAAATAAGATTGCGCAAAATATAGCAGGTATTAAAGGGGATATAGCATTGCTTAAGGAAGTCCTAGAAAAAATAATCGATAGCGGAGCTAATGTCGAGACAATTAAATATCAAGCACGTGGTATATGCCAATGTCCTGGGTAAAGCTCCTCATAGGCCAAGCCGAGCCGAGCCTCATAAAGCTCAGGCCGAGCTGAGCCCAAAAGTCTTAAGCTCGGCTCAAGCCTGAGTTTATAAGTTAGGCTCGAGTCGAGCCTCATAGTAGGCTCATAAACTTAACAATTCACAG